CCAACTCTCAAGAGTTGAGGCGGACTCATCTCTCCAATGGAAAGAACTTCTAATACTGTTGCATGTGAAAACACTCGACAAATATTATGCTCCCAACTGTGGAAGTTGTTGAAGTTTGGCTTCTTCCTGCACCAACAATGTCTGCAAACCAGTCCATGAAGCAAAGTCATAAATGACGTGGATGAGCAAGTCTGGTATTGATATAAATATGCTCTTTAATATTTTGGCTGTATGCTTTAAGTAAAACCACAAATCAATCAATCAATAAATCCAGCTGTTTTTTTTTATATATAACACTCCACTTTTTTCATTGCACCATTTTAAAAAGTCCATGCAAAGCAGAACTAAAATAAATAGAAAAATTAAACCTCAAAATATTAAGTTATATGAAACATCTGAAAAAAAAAAACATTTTTAAGCTTCTCATGATAAAAAATGAACTGTATTCAAAGTTTTGTTTCCCCCTCACACACAAAATCTAAATGTATATTAATGCTTTTTTTACACATGTTTAGTGGATTTTAAAAATCACAGTTTCCAGTGCATAAGATACAAAACAAAACAATATTTAAAAGAAAAAATAGGGACTCTGAAATGCAAAGGCAGTTTACAATTTGTGATTTCCAAATGCCTGTACATTCCACAGCTGTAAACATCTCAATAAAAATGTACAGAATTAATACTAACAGCAAGTTTACGATGTGACAACAGAAATGTTTCTTTTTTCCAAGACCAGCCCCAGAGAGTACATCACTGCACATCACCAAGTTCACTATGTAAGTAGTACACCACTTTTTTTTTTTTTTGCCACAAACAGCATAAATAAAAATATTTATTGTTAACCATGTTAAGATTTAAAAGCACCAGTCAGACAGTTTTGAAGAAATTCTCTTCAATGATCTCAGTGAACCTCTCCTTCATCTGCTGACGAAAACCAGAGTACCACTCCAGCAGCCTCCTCCTCCGGTCCACCCTTTGCTCCCGACTTATTCCTCTCTCCCTCTCCAAGATGGCTGGCAGTTCCCTCCAGTCGCTGACGAAGATGAAGGGCGCCCCTGCAGCTTTGAGGAGACGTAGCGGGGAGCTGGGACCTGCAGCGCAGTTGCCAGGAGTGAGAACGTCTTCCACCACAGGCACCGAGCCGTAGGAACATGCCTCATAGATGCGGTAGCACTCTGTGTTGATCCCCACTGGGCAGAGAGTGAGCTCGCTCTGAGCTAGAGCTGTCTGATAGCGCCTCAGACTTTCAGTTGTTTCCTGGGGAACCCACCTAATGCAAAAAAGGAGTGTTTTTTTTTTTTTTTTAAATCAGAACAGATTATATCATCACAATGTGCACAAATCACCTGGAAATTGATGCTTTGAAAAGTTAGGCAAATATAATTTTGCAAATTACAACAAAACTACCAATCTTGTGATTTTAAATGTTTTCATTTAAGAGGCGTTAAACTATAAATAAACAGAAGGATTTTCAGTGAATTTCAACACTGAAATATACTGCAGAAAAAAGTGATGGTTAAAAACTTTAACATCACTTTAATATGGCAAGCTTCAAGAAATACATCATAGGATCAATATAAATACATGCTCATTTAATAAAATTGAATTCAAATTTATTAGGTGGTAAAAATCATAGGGTGTAAAGGCCTCAGTAGTCATTAAAGCTTCTTAAAAGCTTTAAGCCAAAAGAGAAACAAAAGAAGTCCAGTTGGCTTTTATGCTTGTTAAAGATTGCACACCTTCTGACGATATTAGTATTTTTAACATACAAGCAATCCATGCTCTTTACTCCATTTGATTCTAAATTAATTCCCCCCCCAGAATATGCAGTTCTCATGTTTTTCTAATTGAATGTGGTGAGTTGTTTGCAGATTGTTTCATTCTGCTTTTAATTTTTAGAGTGCCTTTGGTCTTACGGGCTCAGTCAAGTGGGGGCGGATTATATATTTCTTCTAAACCTTGATATAAAGCCACAAAGCAAAAGGATATATAGTACAAGCAATAAAGTGATAAAAAACCGTTCTAGTTTGTTCATCTATAAAAAAATAAGTCAAGACCTACTTTTCCCTGGCAGTGGTGAGGCATTCCTTTTCTAGGCCTGACTGTTTCAGCACATTCATCAGTACTTCCCTGGAGGAATTTTTGTAAACAGTACCCAGAAAGTTGCAGAGGTATGGCCGATTAGAAGTAATCAGCTGTGCATTAGGCCTGATCATAGGAAACTCTCTATATCTGCACAGAAACAAAAAGACAAAAGCAGTAAAATTGTTACATAATTATGTTCAGTTAAAGAAGACAGGGTCACAAAACTGGATGTGCCACAGTAAGGTATTTGCATATGTGTTAGATTCAAAAGAAATGACATACGTGGCAACACCGAGGGGCCACTGGAAGATGTCCTTGTCATTGACCCACGGGCTGTCATAGATCAGGAACAACAAATCCACAAATCCGCCATTTCTCTTTAAGTGCGGGCCGATCCAGTCGTTGTTGCATTGCTCATTTCCCAGAAGGACCACAGCCACATGGGACACAGTATTAGACTGAACCAGGGCTTGAACATGCTCCAGCCACCTCGTAGAGTAAGAAACTTTCTGCTGTTCACGACCGTTCAGAACCAAAACCAGGCTGTTCATTTCCAGGGGAACGTGTCCCTGAACCACTGCTGGGCCGGTGTAGAAACTGAACACAGAAAACGTTGGTTAGTAACGAGAACGAGTTCATCAGTTTTCTTTTATCTTTCAGTGACCAAGAAGTGGTCACTGAAGTAAGTGAAGTAAGTCAATATTAAAAATCTAATCAGTGAGTTTTACCTGAAATCAACTTTTCCAGACTGAAGCTCCCCTTCCCTCCATTGTGCCACCTTGTCAGTTGGGTTAAGGGGTCCTTCTAAAATATGTTCCCAAAGGTACAGCCCTGAGGAAAATGTAATGCAAGATTTAATATTTTTTACTGTTGAAGTTTACCTTTCTAACAAATACATCATCATTAATTTGGTACTCAATTAAAAGCTGTAAACACAGTGGATATTCATGACAAATAACAATGTATCCAAAAGGAAATCCAAGATAATTCTTCTATTAGAAAATTTGAATATGACAAGGAATGCCATAAGGTAAAAATTATTTATTGTGGTCCTGTCTTATTTTGGGAAACTAATGTAGACTAAAATATAACAAACATTAGGTGGTGTGGATCCGAGACTAACTATAATTTGTTTGTCGGAATTAAATGTCGATGGGCACGTTGTAAAGAATTTATAATACTAATATTATGTCATATGAAACATAATATTCAAATGACATAATTAAATTGAATGACCGCATGTCCTTTCCAATGTGTGCTTGAGCTGTATATGTTTGTATAGCAAACAATGTGAGAATTAATCAGAACAAAATAATCAAACTTTTTGAAAAACTGTGCTGTTTAAACTTTGTTCATTTTTCCAGAATGTACAATAGAAATTTTTGCATGTTCTCTCATATTATGTGTGACACCTGCAAGACCAAAAAATATTAGGAATTTTTTTAAGTTTGCAGCACTTCCAGGTTTTTATACCCAGAACAACAAAGCGGGTACAGAACCACAACACCCGAACATTTGATCAGTATGAGCAAAGCAAAACAGAATCTAAGTGTTATTTTTTTACTTTGGACCTATTCAAAATTTAATCAAAAGAATACCATTTTAGCTTCAAAACTATTAACCATCAAAAGCAAACAATTGAGTCTACCAGATTAATAATAGATTACTGACAATAATGATCAAAGATATAAGAAGCCAATTACAGTCAACTCACATCAATTAAAACATCATATTACACCTAAAACAAATCTACAGTTGTGATCACATGGCATCCACCCATCACAGTCATGAATATGTTAATTTTAGGATGTATTTAAAATGCATTTGAAGTATTCTTTTTGCCAATGAAATTATCAACATAAAACTTCAAAGACTTTTAAAAACAAAAACTGAGTCTACAAGTTAGAATTTATTCACACAAGTTCAAAAGTATTCACCCAATTATCGTTGGTCAGGTTGCGACTCAAACTTCTGCCATAATTATGGCTCAACATTTAATAAATTTCCACGACTACTAGAGTTCATTCAAACTGGTTGGCAATAATGCCTAGCTGTTAGTATTCAGATCTAGAAGCTTCTAAAGTATTTAAAGCAGATTTGTTTTTTAACTCAGAGACAACCCCAACCTTTGACATTGAAGCCATTCTTTCTCAGTTGGCCATCTCTCAATAAATGGGTCATTTATACTATAAGGTGACCTACCGATGGCAGCTTTCCCCCAGATTTGAACCTTGCATCTTTTGGGCTTGCTCCTATCGATGCGAGCCATGTACTGTTTGAAGGCCTTTCTCTTCTTGTTCAGAGCAGAGTTGTACTCCACCTCTTCGTCCTCCCACGGATTCCACTCATCTGCAACAAACGGGGCTCCATCTCTGACACCACCTAAAGACAAGACATGGTTTCTCTCAGTTAGCTATACACTATATTTCTGGGAGCTCGGACAAAAATAATGGCTATTTTTTGTTGAAGTTACTCGCTGGTGCGTTGCTCTCTTTCTTCACCACCCTGTGAACTCGGGAGATTATTCTATTGCTGAAGAACACATTATATGCGGCATACAGCGAAAATGCCACATAGGCAAAAATAATAAGAAGAAACAGCTTTCTTTTTGGTATTTTCATTTTCTTCTGTTAGCTCAGGTTACCATTGTGCGGCTAATCTCCGTATATTTTGTTCGAGGACCCTTGTTTATATCACTAGGACCCCTGCTTACAACTGACTTACAAATTGCCTGAGTCAAATGCGTGTTTTAATCTATCCTAATAAAGGCATCACTATATTTTGTTTCGGTTCTGCAGGTATGTTTTAAAATATTTTTTAAAGTATTTTATTATGTGTGAAAGAGCAAGAAGAACAGAGCGCCTTAGTAAAATACGAAACCGCACCGTTACGTAGACGTGAGTATTTCTGGAAAGGCAGATCAGAATAGTCCGCTCAAGCTTCATGCAAGGTCGCGTCCCCAGCTGTGGGGTTGAGGTGTTTTTATCATTTGGACAAAGATGATGTCCACAGTTTTTCGCCCGGGGGTCTTTTCCCCCTATTATCAGGTAACCAAACACGGTGTTAAAAGCCTGGTGTTCCCTGGAGCCAAGGAGCTGCTGCCTGCTGCTGGTAAGGACGAATAGAGACACGAGCCACCGGCGTTACTTAGTTTTGTGACGTAACTCAACAGCTCCAGAAACTTTTCTTATTTCCTTATATCTCGTGTAGTCAGTATCCCTGTAGAAAATGAAGACATGTTTCTTGTGACTCAACGTAACTCTAATTTATAATGATTCGAAACAAGACAATACAGTTAGCAGAATGTAGGTGTGATTTTGGAAAGTACAATAACATGATCTGATTGAACAAATAAGACAGCGCTAACAAGATTTATAAATATTTATTGCTGAAAATGTGCTTATTTTCAGCAAATTTGCTTAAAACCGTCATGATACTAAAAGCACTTCATGACGCTTTTAGAATCTTTTTAAATGTGTTTATTTTTCTCCATCTCCAGCAGGAGCCCGCCTTGCCCACACAGACATCAGGATCCCTGACTTCTCTGACTATCGCCGACCCGAGGTTTTAAATCCCCAGAAGTCCTCCCAGGAGAGCAGTGAGGCCAGAAGGGCCTTTTCCTACCTGGTGACCGGAGTCACCACCGTAATCGGCGTGTATGCAGCCAAAACTGTGGTCACCCAATTCATCTCTTCCATGAGCGCCTCAGCGGACGTTCTGGCCTTGTCCAAGATTGAGATCAAGCTGGGAGACATCCCAGAAGGCAAAAACATGACCTTCAAGTGGAGAGGGAAGCCCCTGTTCGTCCGTCATCGCACCGAGAAGGAAATCGCGGCAGAGGCGGATGTCAATCTTGGGGAGCTGCGCGACCCCCAGCACGACAAGGATAGAGTGCTCAACCCTAAGTGGGTCATCGTTCTCGGAGTGTGCACCCACCTGGGCTGTGTTCCCATTGCTAATGCAGGAGAATATGGGGGCTACTACTGTCCCTGCCATGGTTCACACTACGACGCTTCTGGAAGAATTAGGAAGGGACCTGCTCCTCTTAACCTTGAGGTTCCCTACTACGAGTTTCCTGATGAAGAGACAGTTGTAGTGGGATAAATACAAGAGATCTTTAAACTCCTCCCTCTAAGTTAAATGTGATATGTTAGTTGAGGGGGACATAATGTGAGTTTGCCAATAGTTATTTGCAAAGGCACGATTATGTCTGAAGTGATTCTTCACTTTCTCACTCATCATGATTTGTTTAAAATGTTGCCTCTGCAGTGATAAAGCACTTTAACTATGCAAAACTGTCATTTGTCAATGCATTTAATATTTGTCATGACACTTCAAGGTTTCATTGACCCTCACAGAGACAGAAAACAGGACTTCGTTTTCCCACAGAAAGGGTTATAACAGGAGAATAAGTATGGAAGAGGCAGATTTGAAACAAAAGTGGAATTAACATTTAAGAATATTCTTGAAACACCGTGTGAAAACAATTAGCCGAGGGTTTTTGAAAATAACCATTTATTAAACAGACAGGCCCATTAAGCAGTGCAGGTCATTTCGCCCCTCCACCATCTCATAAACCCTGTTCTTAAACAGTTTCAGGTATTTTTATTTCTAAATTAAAGAATATTAGTTAAATATTCATAAATAAATATTAAGTGATTTTATTACTTCAATTAAGGAAATCAAATTTATTACGCAGTGATGTATTTCAAGGATGTTTCTGTTATTTACATAATTTATGGCTTACAGCAATAAAAACCCTAACTTGAATATCTCAGAAAGTCACACCGCAGCTTTTTCCATGATAATCTGCTGTCGTCTCATCTTTCTCTTCATAAAACTCTATGGGTTATCCATATCTTTAGATCAACAAATCTTTTTGACCATTAAACTCAGTGACGCCACAGTTATTAAACCAGTTATTGGTACACAGTGTTGGCATCTCTGTGAAGCCTGTCAGCAGAAGGCAGCAAAAAGTGCTCCAAAATTTGATGGCTGCACTAACTTTAGACTTCATCAAATCCAGTAGATGCTTTTGGTGGTGTTTCAAAAACAGAATCTCAACACAGGGAACACAATAGATTTCAAGAGAAGAATATTTTTTCCTGTGTTAAAGCAATACATGGCCTGGGTACGTCTATTTGGTGGCTCTTGAAACATCCACTCCAGCGAGTGACCACTCAATTTTGAATTAATTTAAGTGGAACTAGAAATCCAAATTCTCAGATTCTTTAAGATACATTTTGTTGTCTACCAGCCTAGCGAAGGGTGACAGTGGCTGTCTTAAAGACAGCTGTCGGGCCCAGTCTTTTTTCCTGTAATTTTGTAGTCCACATCATTTCTGTATTAAAAATTATTTTAAACTGGTCCTATTTTTTTGTTCTAATTTCCTCAGAAATGAAATTCTAGATTTTCACCAATCAGAAAACAACTGAAAACACTTGAAATACATCACCCTGTGTGATGTAATGAGTATTCATCATTACCTTTTTCATTGCAATCCATTTGTCTTTTAATAATATTGCGATATATTGAGAAGCACCTGACAATGTATTCTTGAGATATGGGCATTTTTATGATTGACTCCATGATTTAGAAAAACTATTAACTACCAAGGAAAAAAATATGAATGAACTGGTTAAACACATGAGTACATAGTGATGTTTCCCATTATTATGTTCGTCAAGCCATAATTTCCCCATTACATTTAAAGCCAGACTAGTCTCTTCAGTGCAGACAAAGGCATAATAAATAATAAAAACTGTAGATTTTTTTTTTGTCCCAAAACATACAGCACAGTTTTTATAGCAAAGTGCTAACTGGTTTATTACTGACAAAAGATGATTGTGTTGGCACTGCTGTATTTTTACATTCTTAGCAACAGTTCATAGTTTTCTTCATGGTACCATTCCTCTGAGCCTGTAAGACTTTGGGTCAACCCATTCAGTTTTTAGATGGACACTAATCCACATAGTGCACCTCAGCCTGGAGCTCCTTAGAGATGTATCCGATAAGAGCCGCCGTGACCTGCTGCTTCAGCATGGAGTTGCCCATCACCAGAGCAGTTAACTGAGCCAGGTCGGTCCACTGAATATCTCCCAGGATCTCCATGAGGTCATCATACAGCTTCTGCTGCTGCTGAGGGCTGAGCTCCATTATGATCTGTGGAAGCGGCCTGAACTGCCCACTGGTCAGCCAGCAGCCAAGGAGACCACCCACTGCACCACCTAGAGGGAAGAAAGGGTTTCTAATTCTGCTGTTGAGGAATGGAGTGGCGCAATGGTTTATAAGCAAGTCTAAGCCTTACTTACCCACAGCAATACCGAGGGGACCCCCCATTAAGCCTCCAGCGAAAGCGAGTCCACCTGCAGCTGCTGCTCCCTTCCCAGAACCTTTCACTGTGGTCTTGATCTGCTGATTGGCAGACAGCTCACAACACAACTTCATCACATTGTCAAGTCGATGGCCCATTCTGTGGATCACAAGTGCAGTGTTCGGTTAAACACTACATATGTCTGTACGTACCTTACAAAGTACCTGAAATACAAATAATCTCAAGTTAGTATCATAAATTTAACTGTGTTGGATGTTTTATTTACACAAAAAATGAAACTTTGATAGAATTCAAATATTAATAAACAGAACCAGGATATTTATTATGACAAAAAAAAAAAACAACAACAACAAAAAAAACAAAAACAGGATTTTTAAATCCTCAAACGTTTAAAGCTAATCCACGGTAATAAAACAAGTACCAACAAACCACCTGGTAAAAAAATCAACACAAAGAACTAATAAGCAATATATCACGACAAAAGGCTGCTGTTTAGTAAATCTGTCTACTTTTACAGTCATTTTGCTGTAAAAAATAAAAAAAAAATAAATAAATAAAAACAACCTTTATAAGTCAGTTAGAAAATGCTTTTTTAAAATGTCTCACTTTGACCTGGTCCTGTCAACAGCAACAGTAACAATTATATTAATATTACAATTACTAGTATTATTGTTGTTGATGATACAACAGTGTTTTTGTGTGTGTGTAATGTCAATCCAATAATTACTTTACAAATCAAAAGTTTACAACAAAGAAAGAAGACATGTTTAAGCAACTGTGATATTTAAAGAAACCTGTATGGTACCGTACGGTAAACAACCTTACAGCTGTTTATGTTAACAGATCAACATTTGTACTTCAGAGAAGCATAAGCCAAAAGCTAGCGCGTTATCAGTCGCTCCATGAACTACATCACACCGTCGAGAGACACAGACAGCAACAAGAACCTTAGTGAAGATTTATAGCTTACCTTACTGTGGAAATAACCTGGTATTTATGTATTCACCGCTTTTTTTTCAGTGTTTTTAACTGGATCAAGCTTTCTATTTCTACATGATTCTTGAGCTTTCGCGTGCAGTTTGCATGCCGCAAAGCCTGCTGGGGGAAAAAGTCATGCTACGTTCAAGGAAATCCGTCCGTTCTCCCGTGTCGATCGTTGCTCTCGGTTGTGCGTGTTTATAACGTCAATTTGACAAATAATAGGGTTCAGCTCGTATTTTAAATATTTAACTGCCTATGTTTTCTGTTGACATTGAACTGACTGACTGAAACCAATTCTGGGGCTTAATTATGCGTCTCTGCTTATTCTCAGATGATAGGATATAATCAATATAGCCTACTATTACATTACATAAATATTTGCAATATTTGGCACAAACAAATTGTTCCACCTTAGCTCACTTCCAGCACACAAACAATTATGGCAGCACTATTCTGCAAGTGCATCTAGCTTGCTCAAACTAATGAATATTTGATTTATTTATAGCGGGTCTTTAAAAACAAGAGATTTGTAGGACAGAACAAATCATGTATGCATACACAAAATAATTGGAAGAACACTTATTTAATTCAATGCCCTAATTATCAACAACTTTTAATTAAAACCACGTTATTCATGTTCCTGAATCCTGCTCGATATACTGTATTAAAGAGCCAACAAATAAACTATTGCACAGACAAAATGGTTACAAATTAACTCATAAGAACATTATTGCTATTAATAGTATTAATGACAATTTAAATTACAATCAGACATACAGCCATAGAAAATTACCAACTCCTTGCCAAATGTACACAGATAAATTCTTCTTAATTTGTGTTTAACCATTACACCCTGGGATTAACGGACAATTTTCCCTAGCTAGTTTGGACTTCTACAATACACACTTTACAATAATTTAATTACTAATTTCAGAGTTATAAAGGAAGACGGTAGAGCCCAACTGAGAAGAAAGAAGCTGCTTAGTGGAGGGCCTAAGGGAACAAGTCCTCTTTGTTCTCGAATGTTAAATTCTAATGAACATTTAACACTGAAACTGGAAGACACTTAAAATATCCTAAATAATTAAACAAGGTACAAAATTGAAAGAATTATGACGTTTCTGGTCTCAACCCTTTTTTTAAAAGAACAATTTTGTTTACAAAGCACCAGACGGAAGACTTTTTTCATCTACTTTTTGGTAGAAAGGGAAACAAGTCATCAAATGGATTTGAGGAGTGACATTGGACACTGCTGCTGCGGGAAACATTCCCCAAATGACACATCAAAAAGCTGTAACCTTTCAGGGAACGTTGAGATGATATTCACTGAAAGTCCCCAGAAAGTCAGTCAGTGAGTAGCATAACAATTCTATTGAAAAGGTTTTCCATAAGTTCTGAGGATTACATAGCAAGAACAACACCTAGGAAAACCTCCCTGCTGGGTGTTACTAAGGTTGACAAGCACTGCAGGTGACCTTGAGGGAAACTTTACAGAACATTAATTTATCTTTTCTATAAAGTCGTACTGTCAATGTTGGGGCTAACTTTAATATTTAGAGAATGTTCCCTGGAAGTGGGTCAGAAAATCTGCAACCTGTGGGGAACATTCAGAAATTGCTGCTTGAAGGGTCATATATTGCAAATCATTTAGAAAAAGTCTCCTAAATATTCTGGTAATAATGTTTGCTGGCTGATTTCTCTGTAAGTTCTGTCATCATAAAGATGGCCGTCCTTTCAGCTGCGCTCTTTGATACGAAAGGTTTTCTTTTGAAACTTCTAACCGGATGTCTCTGTTGTACTTCCGCCATCTTGACGTTGAAGTTCATGGCGCAGCGAGAGTGACGAGGAGTGTTTTGCTGGCTGCTCTTTGGGATCTTGAAACGGTGGATATATTTCGGGGAGTCATGCAGAAATCCTGAAATGAGAGTGTGAAATGCTATCACCTCCGGAAGTGTGGATATTCATCGCTGCCTCATTGATGACTGTGTGCAGGACGCATCTGAGGAAAAGCTGCTGGATTCATAAACACTTCTTTAGGACTCACAGAAACCCCTGAGCGTTGTTTTGTGGGTTCACAGAACGCACATTTACCCCCTTTGCATTTGGGCCGACAATGGCTGAAACGGGCAACACGGACACGGCTCATCTCGGCGCAGTGGTCAGGCTCAGAGAGGAACACCAAAAGGTAATTTGACTCGTTCACTCGAAGCCTTTTGCTGTTAGCAGAGCCTCTGTCGGTTCCTGGCCACGCGGTTCGTGTGCTTGTTTCGGCTCGAGTGGATTTGTTCAAATGTGCTATGCAAAAAAGAAAAATTAACTCCGTGATTTGATTCCTCTTGCTTTCGCATCGGCTTTCGAGAAGCTTCCTCCCGTAACGGTCACGTCTGAGTTTCATTTAAATATTAAAGGAGGCGTGTTCGGTTAGTTTTGATTCTTTTGACACACGCTTTGCTCCTGCGGCTTACACCTTAACGCATGTAGTTCTTGCCGAGCTTTATGGACTCGCCAAAAATCAATATTTGGATCAATTGTCAATCAAAAAAACAAAAACAAATTAAAGGTGAAAGTTGGAGTAACGTCTCCGCCCCTCACATGACGCTGAAGTTAGCTTTCGATTGAGCTCTTCACCACATGTAATGTCTCTTGCTACACTTGACTTGCTGTAGTTTCAATTATAAACTTCTCAAACTTTATTTCCATGCTTGTATATCCTACAGCATTCAGACTGCAATGGTTTTAACGTTTTATCCAGTTTGTTCAAACAGACAAGATTTGTCTTATAGACTTGTTTGACTTGACATCGGGTTCATCTTCACAAAAACATAGACAAGTCAAACCTGGGCAGTTTCTTTTACAAATGACTGACTCCTTTTTTAGTGTCTGTCATTGATGTAGTGTAATTATGTCAAGGTTTGATGTCTCTATGTGAAACACTTTGATCAGTCACAGTTGAACAAAGTGGTCCACGTAGGAAAAGCAATAAGGTAGTCTCATTAAAAAAAACCACCTCAAAACAGCCTCTTGCTGTCTTTACAAATTGAATAAAGAGTGCACAATTTGCAGTCTGTGTCTAGTAGAAAATGTAGTGCCTTTTTTTTTTTTAATTGCAGGTTTCTGTAGTGTTTCAAAGATGATCTGGATTCGTTAAATGTTTGAAATAATCCTTTAATCAATAAATAATCAAATAGAAAACCTTGACTTGGATATCGACTTCAGCCTCACCCACATGATATTCAGAAGGCCATTGACAGTCATGGGTTATACTTGAGGCACAACAAAAGCAAAATCCTAACCTGTACTGTCTGCAGAAACCTTGCATTCAACATGTCAGAGAAAAAGGATCTGAAGATCTCCTGAACATTTAGATGATGTTTTACACAACTGACCGTTTCCACTTGTCCTCTTTTGTTTGGTATATCTTCTGCTTCCTTGTACATAAAAGGTCAATAACAGTGTTTAGCTTTTTGGTGTAAGTTGCATTTTGGAAAGACACTTAAGCGGAACTAAAATTTTGTTTGGCTGAAAATATGTGCGAATACCACATCAGTTTCAGAATAATTTGACATCATTTGGACGTCTTGCAATCTAAAAGTTGTCACTTCAATTTCAGGTTCCTCCATAACTATGTATTGGTCTATGAATATAGTGCTTTGAACCGTTGCTATTACTAGAAATATAGTTTTAGGAGTGTTTATTAAGTATGATATTGCCACATGTCGTGATTACTATGTTTTATAAAAGTCAAACATTAAAATATTTTCAGAAAATAATTTACTTTGTTCCTATTGTACTTTGCATGTGTAAAATATAATTGTTTGACTGGGACACCAATATTGGTTCTGGGATATATATTTAAAATCTGACCCTGGCTTTTACTGAAGTGCCCCAGGGAGACACGACGAGTCCTATCAGACAATCAAGCCTTCATTGCCTGATTCTGGAGTACAACGGTACCATTATTTCAGTCAACCAGAGGTGGTGTTGGTAAGTTAAAGTAGTTTGAGGTTGGGCTGCTTGCATTGCCACTGTATTGATAAATCAGGTTTATAACTATGTTAACTATGTTAACTATTTCAGGCAAAACATAAAGTACAGAAATCAGCTGGATGGAAGGATCCAAACAACTGAACTTATTTGTTTGTCCCAGAAAATGGGACAAACTGAACATCTAAAATCATAATCTGGGAAGCTGCTTTTCTGTCAGTGTTTAGTCCTAACTCTTGTAATGCGTTTTGTTTTTATGGGTTTTTTCTCACTTTGTATTTTGAAATTCTGCAACAGAAAGCAATTATTTCTATTTTTACCTGACTGTGTGTTTGTGTGTAGGTGTTAGTGAAAAATAAATACTCCCTCCTGTCTTTTTAACATTTTTGCATTGCTAAATATTGTGAACACACCACTAATAATAATAAAGGAAATTGAAACAAACTATCATTATTTATTCTAAAACAGGTGGTGAAAGACTGTGAAAGTCGGATTCAGCACTGGTAAGCATAGCTTTTATAATTATCGTGTGATTTTATTTTTTTTTTTCGCTTTACTTTGGAAGAATACATTATTTATTGGAAGCAATAATGTCATTTGAACTGGGTGCAACACACAACATCCATCCTTTAATCGCCACATCTTTGCTTTCATTTTAATTACTTACTAAATGGTAGCAGAAATGTCCAGTTAATTTTACTTAGAAGCAGAGTTGGGTCCATTTATTTATTGGGTGTTGTTAAATAAAGCAGACATATTAAAACAAAGGGAGACACATGAAATGTTTCTGAAAAGATAACCACAAGAAAATAAAGGAACTGCCTTTGTTTTAATGTTTTGGATCCAACATAATATACAGATACTTTTCCACAGAAATTAGACTGATCTCTTTATTTTTACCTCAACCCACATGCTGATCTTTTCCATCATTTAAATGATAATAAAGTACCTAACCTATGCAGGTTACCAAATCCTCATGTTGCTGCACTTCACTGACCCATCCTAATAGGGACAGAAGTGTTAAGTTTCAGTTCTACAGGAGCTCTTGTCTATCTTTACTTTCCCAGCAATATCTTTTTATCCAGTGATATGTTTTTTCAGTTTTCCATTAAATTGTTGTTGTTTTTTTAAAAAGTGAAGAAGTCAGAGTTTTGAGATGTAAATTCACTGGCCACCTGAAGCTTAATGCATTCAGGTATTTCAGCAACTTTGCCAAACAAACTAAGTGTTTCAGTATAAATATCTGCCATAGTTTTCCAAATAAGTTTTGTATTTCTTTCTGGAAACTTGTTGTATAGAAAGGAGCCCCCACTATTATGCCAGAGAGCAAAAAGCTTCAAATCTGCAGGTATACAATGATTTGAAGAAGTGCATCTGATTTTTATTCGTTTTTTCCTCCTGTCATATCTATTTATTACATCTACTTGTGCCATTGCACTATAAACACACAGGCCTGATGGGGCTGTGGACTTGATTAAAGGATTTGAGATGCATCCTGTGTGCAAACAGTGGAAATCAGTGAAGCTCTCTACTGGGAGATTAAACTGAATCACCATTGTGGGTACACTTTGAAATTGTGCAAGCTTTAGAAAGGTTCAGGTCTGGTTCTGCAAGTACATTTTCATTGACTCAAGCGTACTTCCTTCAGTACACTTGGTAGCGAGAATAACAAATTGAGACTGATTAGTTTTTTTTTGGGCAGCAAGACACAATTTTATGTGCCAAGTCGGCTCATGTGGATGCTAAAACAGACAGCCGAGAGTTCAACTTATTTTTCTTAAGTTTTCCTTTGGTAAACCTGCCTGTTTGAAAGCAAAACTGGGACAGAGTTACTGATTGAAACTACTGGATGGCCTTTCACCTCTCTTGCTAAATACCCAGTGGTGGAGAAAGTACTCAAACAATGTACTTAAGTAAAAGTGCAACTACACAGACAAATATGTACTCTAGTAAAAGAAAAAGTACCATATTAACATTTTTACTTGAATAAAAGTAAAAAAAGTACTTGCTTTTAAAAATACTCAAGTACTAAAAGTAAAAGTACTTGCTGTATGCATTACCTAATCGCTAATACAACATCATTAAGTGTACCTCTTGCATTTAATTTTAATACATCAGAAATGTGTCATTTTAATTAACGACACAGATAAAACATGTTTTTATTGTGTTTACTCTCCGCAACATAGCTTAAACTTAAATATGTGATTCTATGCATCATAATTTCAGGGATGGAAACATCTCATCCTCTGGCCTAACATAGCAAGAAGTTCTGGTTTTTTTTTGTCTCTAGTGGCATTTATTTTGAAAGAAATCCAACAAAAAAGGAGGCGGAAAAAAAGATGGGTTGGGGAGGACATGCAACCTAGGAGCCATGTTACAGCATTATAGTCAAGACCACCTAACCCAAGACCAAGACAAGCCCCAAGCTATAAAATTAAGTGTACCTATCAAAATTGCTTCTCAAATTAATTTGAAAGATCCACATTCCTATAAAAACACCTGGATATTAAATACTTAGGAGTTGAAATAAATGTAACCAGTATCATTATCAATTCAAACTTCTCTTTATTCTGTGTTGTTTTCATTTCTGTGCTACAATCTGTGGAGGTCTCCTGCCATCCCGAAAAAGATAACTCCCTGGGCGGGCAGTTGCCCATATCGCCCATGTCAGAGACCACAATTGTCTGCACAATTAAACAAAGGTGCAACACGCAAGAAGTAACCATAACTGTTCTCAGCCTGTCTGCCACCATGACAGGTGACGAAAACAATCAAAGAGCAATGAGCATGCTCTGCGTTCTTACGTTCTTGTTTCATTTATTCGGCAATTAAATAAGTCTATATTTTAATTAAGTAAAATAATAATTAGAGCAGAGCAACACAAGAAGAAAGAGCGCCTCTCAGTGAGGCTTCAGTCCTATAGGACTTAGTAAAGATCCATCCAGAAGAATCGGATTGTTCGTGAATGTCATAGCAGACTTTGGTCACAGCGTTGTCCCATATATGTGACATGTCAGTCAACACCTTCGCACAATAATTCAGCGCATGAATGACAACTTTTTTTGCAGATATGTTTGCAGATGCAACATATGGGTCTCTGTACAGGTAGCTTGGCTTACATAAGGTCCACTGAGTTTACCTTTCTTTGAGCTTCCTTTCCAAATGATGCTAAAAGTTGGACAGAGTCCCCACTGTCTGTAAAAGTGAAGCACAGATGAATTTACATGTCGCCATGTCCTACGATTTGTGTAGAGGAATTCTATTACAGACAATTAGACATCTTCTCAGTTTTCAAGGTTCAACAAGCCAGTTCCTTAAACCTGGCTAGAAGTTGTGTTTGAAAGCATCTTTCAAAAAGGAGGAAATGGTGACATCTGGTGGTGACAAATAAGCTATTGTTTATTGCGGATAATAAATAAGTAAATATGTGTGTGTATGATGGATGCTTCTGATGTAAATATTTTATTGACGAGTTGGTTGAATGCTTCTACAGGAAAAAGGTGTTGGCTGACTATGAAGCCCTTGAAGATCGCCTTCAGACTCTCCCCGATCAGTTGTGTTATGACATCATGGTGAGTGCAGATTTTGTCTAAATGACACTTTCACATAAACTGACTCATTACTGAACCGCCATTACTGAAAGTTGCGTTGCTTCTTTTTTGCTTTCTCACCAACTCTCTTCCACCTGTCTTAATTTGGCCTACTTCTCCTTTTGTTCTGCTGTTTCTCACCATCCTCCGCACCTTGAGCAGGTGCCATTTGGTCCTCTGGCCTTCATGCCCGGGAAACTCGTGCACACCAACGAGGTCACAGTGCTGCTGGGCGACAACTGGTTCGCCAAGTGCTCCACCAAGCAAGCTCAGAAAATTGTCGAGCACAGAAAGAAACGTGAGTTTCATTTCCTGTCATCTGGGGATCTTTCTTTTTAAATGTTCTCCTTTCTAATCTAGTCGTTCAACGCCGCTGTTCATCCAGCAGAGGGCGACTGAATATCACATGTGAAGAAGTTGTCTGTTTTTAATTTCTTACGGCTTTGAATTCATTGGAGTTTGGAGCATAATGATGTTTTAGTGGTGTAATGTGTCGCTGTTTTGTAAATGACATTTGCAAGAGCAGATTTGTTGTTAAGCAAGCTGCAAAGCAACACTGAGTGCTTTTTTTTTTTGCATTTTTTTTTTTTTTTTTTTTTTTGCATTTTTAATAGCTTATTGATTTAAACGTTTAAACGTTGTGCTGTTTGGCTAAATCCAAGCCTGTCGGAGCATTTATTTTTGTCATAAAACAAAGATCGCTGCTTTGTTTCTCTGTGCTCATTCTAAGTCTGAAAAATCTCATATCAAGTCAAATGGACCCAAGCAACAATCTCTGATGTGAACATTATTAGAATGTTTAGTGAAGCAGAAATGTGCTGCCACAGACCCCCTCCCCGCCCTGCTATTACAGAGCTAAGTGCTGTAATACAAACAGAGCTAGCTGAAATGTGTCAGACAGCGGCCGAGTTGTCAGGCCTTCTGTATTTGACCTTTCCTCACTTCCAGTTGATGCGCTGACTGGAGGGGCTCCCAATCGCCATGGAAACAAGGGCCCTCTGCTGCTATTAGTGAAAGGGCTTAATTGTTGTGAAGATTTAATGATCCGGAGTAGTATTCAGGGCAGAAGATATTATCAACTGTTTGTGTCATCATTTTTCTTCCCCCTCTTCCCCGACTTGTTTAGGATTTTAACTCTTCAGTCACTGCTTGTCATTCAGCCCATCGTTTTATCTGCGTGCCATAGTTTGCTTGCCGCCAGTTTTGGCCCATTTGCTTCTCTGGTTCCGCTCACGTTCACCGTGGCGCATCTGCATCTGTTTTCTCTGCAGACGTGGGGAATCAGTTGGACGATGTGGCCAAGACCATGAAAAACTTTGAAGCAAGAGTGGGGTTTGCAAAAGATCTGGAAAGCATGTCAGCTGTATGTTGCATTTCTGTGCATATCTGACGTTGCGTAAGACATAATCGAGGACAAAAGCATTGATTTCGACATTCTTGTGATTTAGAATACAGGGAAGTATGTCGACATCAGAGAGGAGGTGGGAAACAATGACTCGCCCGTCACAAAAGGTACATTTATCTGACCTCATTTCACTTAATAATGGCTTATGAGAAGGCAAAGAAAACCATTAGTGTGCTGCTAAATTCCTTACCACAGTTAGTGTTTTTTGGGGTTTTTTTTCCTAGAGCTAACGAGTGAACTGATTATTGCTTCACAGGAAAGCAAAGAATAGCTCACAAGCCAAATTCTCAGCCTAAGATAGATGTGGTGTTTGATCTGAAAGAGGAGGATGAAGAGGATGAAGGAGAGAGCAGAGACACAGGGGGCAGGAAAGGCATCATGACTGAGGAGGAGCTGTGGGCTCGATTGGATGAACTCGAGAGACTGGAGGAGCTGCATGACGAGCAGGACAGGTACAGCATAACCTATCATATAGTCTAATCAGTAAAAATAATACGGTAAAAGTTTATGATTTTATTTTCCATTGTAAGTTGCCTTTAAACATTTTTCCATATCGTTATCTTTCTAAACTAATGGGCTAAGTCAATCTTTTTTTTTTTTTTTGCCTAAATCATGTTTTGGCAAAAAAAGGACTTAGGTGACAGAATGTGAAATTAACAGTAGATCTACTTAATTTAGAATATTGTCCAAAGTTTTTGATCAAAAAGTGAAACTTGCTGTGTGAATTCATAAGACATTCAGAGAGATGTGTATTTTAGCATGGATTTTGGTTTTCTATTAAGAAAAGCACACATTTCAGTTTGTCAGAGACTGTTGACTCAAGAGAAGATGACACAAAAAAAGGCAACACACAGTCATATCAGTACAAATATGATCACACTCTCCATTAACTGGTGCACAGCTATTGGCTTCTTTAGCGGCTTAAGCAATGACCTGTCGTGGTTTACCATTCTGGAGGAGGATGGTTGTCTACTCATCAACTGTCAAGTCTTTTCCATGAATATGTAGGGCAAACCCTGACAATAACATTTTCCCATTAGATAGCCTTTTTTTAAATTATGCAGTATTGTAATTTTCAGAAAGATTGAGTTTCTAGGTTTTCTTAGCTGTGAGCCAAAACCATCAGAATTAGACATAAACGCTCAAAATGTATCACCGTGTGTAATGAACCTATATAGCAATATCAATTGAATTACTGAAATAGCTCGACTAGCTACATATTTTTTTTTTTTGAGGCTTTAGGAAACAACTTCGTACAAGTTGTTTCCTTATATGAAACAACTGATGAGTCTGTAGAGTCAGAACAGTAATTGATAGAATCCATTTTTTTCTCCAAAGCTTTAATTTTCTACTTTTGAATGCTGTTTTAGTAAATATCAACACTCTGTCTCAAAAGGATCTATTTTTAAAAGTTAAATAAAAAAATACTCTACATTTAATTGGATTAGTAACAACTTTGTAAAGCTCTTAAAATCTTTTTGTAAAAAAAAGAAAAAACCACAAATTAGCACAAATTCGATTCCTATGATCATTAAGGAAAATAGCAATTTTAATGTTTATAGTGTTCTAAGACCACAATGTCCTTCCTATCATTTGTTTCTGAACATCCTTAGCAAACTTGCAGCTTTATCAGCTTTCAATCTTTTCAAGGAAGGAGTTTGGTTCAGTGGCAGACTGATGTTATCTTGTGTCCTCTCTGTTTTAATATGACTAATATTTTTTTCAGCCAAACATATCTGATGAAACTCGCATGAAGTGTTGGTCTTGAGCTTCTCAAACTAAAGTCTTTGGGTTGAAGGCCATAATTGTTAAATGTAGCGACCTATCTGCATGTTGTAATCCTTAAATGTCTAAAAACATTATGTTTTTCACCACTATTTATTGGTCCCACTATTCTCCACTTTATTTTACAAATCTTGAAAGAGTGATGTGCATTTTTTCCCCTCCAGATTATCTGATAATGCAGACATGAATGGTGAAGACACATCATCATCTTCATCAGAGGAGGAGAAGGAGGCAGATGCTGCACCTCCGGTGAATGGTCTGAGTTTGAAGCCAAGCTGGAGCTCTGTGCCTCACAGCATACAGCCACTCACAGATAGGAAAGAGGAAGACTACAAGGAGGAGGATGGCAGCTGTTTGCCAACCATTTTCTTCTCTCACACTGTTGAACCCAAGAAGGTCGGCTCATTTAAAAAAAAAAAAACATCTTGGATGAGATCTTAAAAATATTTGTTGTTATGGTTGTACTTAACTTGTTTCTTTCATTTCAGGTGAGGATAAACACAGGTAAAAACACCACCTTGAAGTTCAGTGAAAGAAAAGAGCAGAAGGAGCATTCAAAAAGGAAAAAGAAGAACGGCCACAGTAATGGACACTCACATCACGAACTTCATAAAATCACCACACCAGCTGATATTTACAGGTAAAAGCAAAGCAAACCTCTTTGCAGACCTTGACATAAACACAGAGATACTCACATTCGTGCAACTTTTTAGTTTTTGTCAAGTTACAGTCGCAAACTTCAACATGTTTCACTGGGGTTCCATGTGATAGAGTAACACAAAGCAAATGGACATGCTTTGATCTGAACCAGGCCTCAAGAGTTGGTGTCCTTCATGTTTTTGATGTTCTTCTGGTTCCACACCCCTGGATGAAGTTAATTACAAAGCCTCTGTACTATGTGATATGCAGACATGCTTTCAGCTACATATGGAAAGCATGTTATATTGTTTTATAACCCAACTCTGGTACAAACTTCTCAACTTTATCCCTGACCTGACTGCTTCACTGCTTGGCTGTAATGTTTTTTAATTAATCTTAATGTAATGTTAATTAATTAATCTCTGAGGCCTTCACAGAATTTCTGGATTTAAATTACGCACAAGTGACTTTGAACGAGAATTGGTTGCACTAGATTTTATTTGGGCGAGACAGATTAATGAGGGTTGAACATAGATGCAAAACTTCCAGTTTTCATGTCCAAAACCGTTTTTTTGTCACATAAAATCGCATTAAAATACAGAGAAGTTTGCGGTTGCAGTTGAACAAAAGGGAAAAACGCCCCACAAAAAACTAATGATTGTTAATTTTTCTGCAAAGCACTGCAAGCCCATCCCACGTGGGGAAGTGCAGCTGATGAAACATGACTGTTGCTTTTGGGTCAGGTTGTTCGTGGACGTGAAGAACGGGGAGCCGATCCCCAGGAAGTCCATCCTGAAGTCGCGTAGCCGGGAGAACAGCGTGTGCAGCGACACCAGCGAGAGCAGCGCTGCCGACTTTGAGGAGCGCAGGATGATCGGACGCAGCTTCAGCCACGATGAGATGACGCACAGCGACACCAGCGACGGCATCACTGAGGAGGACAGCCCAACCGCGATGCCTCTGCAAACTCCCAGCAGATTTGAAGTTAGTTTCGTCCTGGGTCTTCGTCAGCGTTTTACTTGTGCAGAGCTGGTGCATAAACGCGGCACATTTGAGCTTCAGAACATTTGTTTAGAGTGGAAACGGTGACCTGAATGTGTCCAGATTAATTACCATACAGTACAAACCTATTATTGAGCATTTCACATGAATAAACGTGATGATGCCATTGCCAGTTTGCTCTCTTTTAATTGATCTTTTTTTTCTCAGGCTTTTTCAGGTACAGTGGTAGAAAAGGACCCGATGCCTACAGCAGTGCCCCATCTGACCATCGTCCCACCTGCTTTACCAACCATACTGGAGAGGAAGCAGGAGGAGGTTGCACCTGACGTCCCCTCGCCTGAGCAGGCGCCCAAGAGGGTATCGAAGTTCAAAGCTGCCAGGCTGCAGCAAAAATGACTTTTTGGGTCTTTTTCTTCTCTTTTTAACAAAACAACAAAACACAAGCAATTGCCTCCCTTGTTCGGATCATCTTACATCTTCCCGTTTCTATGATCAAAAGGATACTTGTCATGGCACTATTAATAAATCTGTCTTGTTTCTGCTTCTCCTCAACCTGATAGCTAGAACCATTTACATTTTCTCCTTCTTTCCCGACCCTTGCTGTTTGTAGGGAAGGTGACACTAGCTTTTGACACTTTGGATGAGTTGCATTGTTTTCTTTTTGTCAAGCATTTGTTGCTACAGTGAAACTTCTACTTTCTTTTGACCTACAAGATGAATGTATGTATTCTTTTGTGACAAGCTTTATGTAGAAAAGAAAACTGATGGGAACTAAAACAAAAATAAGTACTTTTACCCACATCTTTTTTTTCACCTTGTAACGAACATGCAGTTTCTCAGTAGTTATAAAACCTTACTGCTGTTTGGGAGGTATTTTTCTGAATAAATATGTTAAATATGATTCTTCAGCTGTTTTGACGTGCATTTACTTTTTTTCACCATTTGTGGTGTAGTGCACCAAAGCCTTTAAAAGCAATATCACTAAACCAATTCCCTTCACTTAAAGTAAAGACGATCCAAATACAACATCAAAGTTTTTGAGCAGAAAAAGTCTCAGATGTTTGAAATCCGCTGACGGATATTTAATGTAATTAGAGCTGTTGTCTTGCAGCAAGAAGATTCTGGCTTTCTTAATGGAGTTTGCATTTTCTCTGGTACATGTACAGTTCAAGTACAACTCTGAGCAGGTGAGTTTTAGTCGAGATTTAAAGGAAGTCAGTGTTCCAACTATTTTACAGCGGGCATAGACATGGATAGTGTAGACTCTAGTGCAGATTTATCAATAGTTATTCTTGATTTCAACCATCAATCTTGGATGGCTACTGCATTCCAAATACATTAATTTTTTTACTGTATCAGCATAATGTTGCACATTTTTGAAAAATCTAACCTTTTAAGGTTATGTGGAACTTTGTTACTCTAGAGAAAATTATGAGCTAGTCTGTTGCTTGCATACATGCACAACCATCCATAAGCAGTAGAGTACATTAATTCAGTGAGAGAAAATCTGTTTGTGAATCTGTTTACAAAGCTTATCACATTTATTCACGCTCCTTGTAGCTACATAGATAAGTTGACAAATCCAACTTTCATTTCAGTAATTTTTATTTTTAATTAAATCCATTCCGTAGGAGTTTTGGATTGTTTTACCCTTGACGTCCTGTTTCCCGTGGACATAAATGTGACATGAGAAATTGACTAATTTCTTACATAAAAGCAGGAAAGACCGGAAAGGTATACAATCTTTGTGCTTTTGACAGAAAATAAACCCTAAAGTTGGAGTGGAAGGTGTCAGGAAATCAATCCAAAAAAAATCATTCCGTCTTTCACCAGGACAGTGATTGGAAACATTAGACCAAATCGCCCAGACCAGATCATCTCATGCATCTCATCCCCCAGAATGTTAAGGTAAGTGAAACACACCTGAAATCTTAGACAACAAGCTCATTGCTTGATCTCTTATTACATTTTGATGTTTTTACTTTAGTTCCCAAAAATAAAATGAGAATTTGGAAAAAAAAAAAAAAAGTTTGTAAAGTTGTATAAACTGGGTGAGATTAATTCTTTGATGAACCAAACAGTCTCTTTTTAGTTACTTTGGATGAGTAACAATAACAAAAGATTTTCTCTAAAAACATGTTGTCATGTTTCAGAGAAAAAGACTTTTAAAAAAGCTGATCTCAAATAGATATCTTCAGAGGTGAATGCATAATTATTGTTTTTTAATTTTTTGTTCTTTTAAAGAGTAAAAAAATAAGACTATTACAATAGACAAATTATTATTATTTTTAGAGGTGTTTGCTGAAATTTAGCAGATTTACGGTCCACTCTGCAAAACAGGATTTTCGGTGTAGTCTTCAGATTGTACTTTAAAATGTTAATAAAATATTGAATCAGAACTTTTACTGTAATATTCTGTCAAGAGAGACATAAAAATTTTGTTTTACAGTTTCAGATTTATGTCTTCATGATAGCTTTAATATGATCACCTGCTGACCAGCCATATTTTATTTTTATTTTTTTACTCAGGAATGAGGCATATTTTATTTGGCGGATTAATTCACTCAGTCGTCGCAAAGCTGGCAGTCTCACTGTATTAGTTCTTCAAAATAAGAGGCTGCCTTATTTTGGGAAAATAAGGGAGCCTGTAGCTTTCAAAGCAACAATTCATGCAAATTCTGTGCCCAGTTTATGAGGCAGATTCTTGTTGCTTTTTGCCTTTAGATGTATTCTACCAGGTGTCATCTCTGGAGTCATTTGGTTTAGAGTGCAGCATTTTTTGCAAGATAAAAATCACTTCAGATTGCTACAAGTCAGCATGAAAGCTCTTTAGATCTCCGCTCTGGTGTTTCTTTATCTGTACCAAAATAGTCTCAGCTTGTTTACTCTGATGTTTCCATCTGTGATTGTGAAAGTTTCTTAATTACACAATTTAACTGATAAAAATAAAAAGATGCTTGCTGATTGTTTTACAGCCTTTTGAATGGTTTTACCTCTAAATGTGATTCACCCAAAGAGCTTTTTTTCCCCTCCTAGATGTTGTAATAAAGAAACTGTGAACGATCGAGATGACAATTGAGGTCAAGTAAGCAATGAGAATTACCCCCACAATTTTTTTTTTGTGTATTCTGAAGTCATCAAAAGGAGTTGTGATTGTGCTTGATGTTAATGTAACACCCATGCATTTTATTTTATCATCTTTACCTGGGTTGGGTATTAAAATGCCTTAGCTATCACGTTGTAGTTTAACTTCATGAGGTTTTTCAGGATTACGCGTCAACTTCAGACTGTTTTGACTTTGTTCACGTTTCTAAATACAAGTCATTCTTCGTGAAGTAGCTCATGAAGAATGATGTACAAAAAGGAGGAGTATTCTTGTTTTATTTGATGTGAGGCACCTAGCTGTCATTTTTCTATAACTTTAAACATTAGCAGGCCAAATGATATTCACCAATGTTTCCCGTCCTTTAATTAAAGCTACGGAGTGAGATTTAATGGGCTATCACTTCCTTTTTGGTAACAAAAAATACTGCAGTTCTGTGATAAGAAGCTTTTAAACAGGTCTTATGGTGACTCCCCACCTCCTGTACCTTTCATTAGGATTATTTCTCCAATATGAAAATCCAGGTAGCATGAGGCAGATTAGGCAATGCTTAACATAGTAGCGTTGTGTTGGTAAGACACAGATCAATGGACTTATGTAGGTTAAGCTGCAAAGGTATATGCCAGAGTGCGGTGGAACTACATTTCAAAGAAATCTAGGATGCAAACTTAGTAATGAGAGAGAACACTCCGGAGATCTGCATTGCTGGGATTAAGAGGGGATTTTAAAAGTTGTTTGATGAAGGTCTCAAGCAGGAATTGTTGTCCAGGCAGGTGTTCAGGCCTGAGCGAGGCGAGGTGAAGAGTTGCAAAAGACTCCAAATGATAAAAGAAAGGATTAAACAGCAGCCAATATATCTGCTTTACTACATTGACATCAGAAACTTTCACACTTTGAGCAACTCCTTAAAAAAAAAAAGTGCCTGGGGAATCCTTTCTGCGTTGATTTGGCAGTATGTGTTCGATAATCATACTGTTAGTGTAACAAAAATAGATGAATAAAAATTCAGGTTTCCAACAAAGGATTGTATATTTAAACTGAATGGATTCTTTAAATGGTCCATGAAGCCATTCAACCGAATAAGGTTCCCAGGATCTTTAAAAGAAGAGCAGTCCATCAAGCACAAAACCTCCAAAACTTTCACCATGCTGAACAGTGAACAAATATCCATTCCATCCAAAATGAAGTTGTTGATTAAATGAACCCCCACCTGGCCAGGGAATGAGAGAATTATTCAGAAGTAGCCAAGAGATCAATATTAACTCTAATAGAGACCCATAGCTTAGATGGTAGATTCTTTTGACAGGGCAGTTATTAGTCATTCAATCCGCAAGTCCAGTCTTTATGAAGAGGTAGCAAAACTAATGGCGACTTTGAAAGAAAACTACAAGACCTGTTTGCAGTTTACCATGAGACCTGCAAAACGTGGAAGAAGGCAGTTTTATCAGATGGCCTTTTGGTCTATGAGCAAAGCAATGCACATCACTCGAAACTCAACTTGAAACATGGCGGTGGTTGCATCATGTTGTGGAATTATTTGCTGATCAGAGCCGACGAGATTACAGCTTCGATCCAGACAGAAGGTTTGTAAGAGCCAGCTAAAGTTTTGAGTCTGGGCCACAAGGTGACCTTCCAGCAGGACAGTGACGTTAGACATACAGGCAGAGAGGTAATGTAATAGTTTAGGACGTGTTCAAAATCTGCAGCAAGAGTGGAACATTTCTGATGATCTCTTTGGAATCTTTCTAAATCAGGGCTATTTTGCAAACAATAATGCCCCAAAATTTTTGTCTCGTTGTGCAAAATTAACTAAGACAAAACAGGGACTTTGAGATGTGAACTGATTCAAGAGGGTTGAATAGAAATACGTGCCTTCTTGGTGTATTGACTGTAAAAAAAGCAAACCAGAAAAATCATTAATACACTGGTGTTTTTCTTTTTAACTGGAAAAAAAAACAACCTGTTGCTGTTTTTACATACAGTAAGTACATAGTTCTTCATTTGGGTTTTATTTAATGTTTCTTAAAAGAACATATCTGCAGTGCATTCACCTATTACAAACAAGATGACTGATAATGCTCGATGTCTTGAGGGGCAAAATCTCCAGTGAAGGTCAGATAGTTGCTGGAAGTGTGATGGATGTTGCTAGCATCCAATTAAACCTCCCTAAGCGAGCCATTATCCAAGTAACATGTTTAACCCTTCTATGGCAACAATTTGGAAAAGCAATGAGAGAAGCAGTCATTTCCACAAAATAGCGGCGAACAAAACAAAGGATCAGATCGTTCAACTAAAAACCTTGCAAAAATGATGGTCCTGCTTTCACGGAACTTCTCAAATGTAAACTACTAGTGTTGCAGATAATCCCCGTCACAAATGGCACACGCACAATACGATGTAATGCATCCAAATACCTGCTTATCGGGGAAAAGGTTGTTGAAGTCTGCGTCCTGGAGACGCCGGTGCACATTTTACGCACGGTGCCAGACAGTCTGTTACACTTACATACCAGCGGCCAGATGAGGGAGACATACGGCTTCGGGACATGTCGAAGTATCCCGAGTCATTTCACAAAAAAAAAAAAAAAAGATTTCATTTTCTCTTTTCTTCACTTGAAAATAGTGCACAACAAAGCGCAAGGTTGGCATCGCCCGGTGTTTAGCGTTTTTTTTTTTTTTTAAACAGACCTGACTCGTTGCAGATGAATCCACACTTCGAAAAGGGGGGAAATCAGCGTCCTACCGTGCGCTGGGCGTTTATGATAAAGCGAGCGAAAGCGTTCAGTCCGTCAGTCAGCAGTCAGTGATCCTGTTCCACATCACTCTCCACTGAACTCCCATCCGTCACGCCGCGTCCTCCGCTGCGCCTCGCCGAGCCGGCCAGGTAAGGGGGAATCTCTGCCCTCCTTGTTTTAAGGTTTTAACTGAAGTTATTTGTGAAAAGTTTCTGAGGAGACGGATTCTGACACGCACGCGTTTCACAGAGACGTCTCTGTGGGATTTTTCTTTTGATGGCGAGTCGCAAGTAATGGCGAAGAGGGTGAGAGGTGATCGAGGCGTTCAGCAGAAGTTATCCTCATCGACGGAGCCGAGATTCGAAGAAGGCGCAGAAACAGCAAGTGCGCATTTCTTCAGTGTTTATTTCTGGATAGTTGGATCATTTGTGACCGTTTGTCATCATCCATTTCACACTTCGTTAACCTTCGGTCTTGCTATATCACTGTCAGTTCTTTAAAAAATTATGCCTCCAAATGAAGTTGTGTGTCCAGTGGTGTTTTTTTTTTTCTTTCTTTTTTTTACTTTGGACGCACTGGCTCACTGCCCAGAGCAGCACAGTTTTGGGGTTGGTCGGGGCGCCTAACATGTTTTTAGAGATCAAACTATCAGATGTGACTCCAAATAATTTAACCAATGCTCATTTATTTGCATGCTCCATTAATGGGGGATGAGTGACCCCAGCATAAGGAAAATATAAGAGCCAGTGTTGCTATCTGGCATGGAGCTTCGATCTGATGCTTGATCGAATGAAATCTTGACCGCATTTCAGTCGGTTTAGTTCAAAGTGGAGAATCCTTTGACTGATCAAAACTTGAGCTGAAATATTCTACACAATGCATAAATTCTTTGAAACACAAACTGAGATTTTATTTTGCTTTATTTGTTAAAACACAAAAAAGAAGCAGTTACTGTAGTTTAAATATTCTCCGTGGCTTTGACAGCATTTATTGACAGGAAAAAGCCAAAGATTTTAAGGAAGGGTCCTGAGGTTGAGAGTTGAACCTCTTAATGGCATGTCCACTCTACCACCATGACATGCGCCGCCCCAAAAGGAAATCATTTTCTATGGTGTTTGATGTTAGAATCACCTTAGATTGTGGTTGGCGTACAGAGGAAGAGGATTGCCCAGGGTTCTGTTCATTTCACTTCAAGTTTGATCCAATGGCGGTGGCTGGGATTAAGGATGCAAGGTGTACAAAAAAAAAGTATTTATAAACTACCTTTAACTTTCAATTTGTATCTTTAATTATAGATCTTTGATTGCCATCGCACTTAGTTTAATAGAGGAAAAGTAACCTTCTTTTTCTTTAAGCCTTCACCTGTACAGCATGGCACAGCTACTTTCAAAGCTACACTTGCCCTTCTTCACCTCACCCTTCTAGACCCTCCCCTCCTCCTCCTGTTTCCAAATGCTCTCCTTTGAAGCGATGATGCCCCATCTGTCATATGTGAGCAAAGAGAGACCATGCTCTGCTCTTCTCAATTACTGAATTCTCCTCATGCCAGCTCCGGTGGGACAGGAGGAGGAGCAGGTGGGTGGCAGTCAGTGCGATCAATCAACATGAAATATTCAGCTTTGAATATACACATCATTTACTGATGATGCTACTGCCGCTGCTGTCCTTGTTAGGAACAGCTCCCCACTAAAGGAAAAAAAAAAAAAGAAAAAAAAGTCAGACTCTTCAAGTTGCTTCTTTGTAGTTGAGACCAGAAACAACGGCACTATTACTTGTTGATCTGTCTCCGACATAACCAACAGAAATGATTCAGTTAGCGTAAGAATTAAATTTTACCAATTGGTGTTTAATGATCAACTGACTTTAGCTCACTTAAATAATTAGTTTTATACATAATTACACATGAAGGCAACCTCTTTGTCAATAATATTTGTTCTGATTTTGTACTGTCTGCATTAAATGTTCCCTAATCTGTTGACAAGTAGTGTCTCAACCTGCCCTGCATGAGTTAAAGTGCTGCTGCCTCTCCATCCCTGCACACACACAGGCCAATTGAGTCCCTTTAACACTTTCAAACTTTGCTTTGGTCTGGGGTTGGCACCCTCTGTCACACATTTAAACAGATCAGCTTGTGCTCAGGTGAAACACTTTTGAAAAACTGAAAAAATAATTCCTGAAACGATTTCCCATAAATATCTGGTGGGAGATGAACAGAGTTTGATTGGATGAAACAGTATTAAAAGTAACGCTGCAGCCTGTTTCCTCATTATGCTGCTGTAAATTCAGACAGATTACATGACAAAGCTCTTGTTTGGCAACTTCCTTCCCAGATAGAAGCACTTGTTTGAACATGAGGCACATGATTTGAATATCTGTAATCCACGGTAAAATCAACAGGCCAGATGAACTTTTTGGCACTCTCTTACCACCACACTGAGAAGGATTTTCTCCCCGCAACAATGCCTAAGCTGTTTAGACTTTAGGCTTAGAAATCATTTGGAAAAAAAAAAACAAAAAAAGAAATTCAAAAGTTATTTGATGTCTCTTTCCAACATGGAAATCCCAGAACTTTGAAATCGCATCAGAGAAAAGTCGGAAAATTTCCAATCATTCAAACTCTTCAGGAAAGTTTTAATCTCCTAAGTGTATGCTTTGTGATAATAATTTCGCCGTAATGTTGCCTCATGAAATTCGCCCGAGAACCATGGCCCTAAGTATTTGAGCTATGAGGCAATACAGTGAAAAGCATAGCCCCCTCATATGAGAACACAACAGTGAATAATTAATAACCTTGCTCCCAATTCCAGGAAAACAATAGCATATTGTAGGAACGCTGCACTAATTTAACCAGAAGAGGGAAAAACACAGACTTGAAGTTCGACTAAGGCTCTGCTCCACTCCTATTGCATCCCTGCACAAGTTTTTGATCCACTTACTCCGGCTTGCACATATAGAACGTGGTGCTGCATGCTTCTAACGTTGTAATGTAGCGTTGTTTGCCTGTGAGATTAATCAGAACCTATTAAATACCCCTCTCTCACCTGCTGGCAGTATGTGAGGTGGAAGTGCACATGCAGGAAGCTATTTTCCACAGGCCTCCTCTCTTGGCTGTCAGCTCCCATTAAGGGGGAAGGTGTCATATCTGTAACACAGCTGAGTGCAGATGGCAGAGTGGAGGGGATGGCTCACCGATTTAAACAATGATTAATGAACAGAGATGGAAAACAAATTACATTGGACTATTGGAGGCCGGGAATTGTTTTTATGAAAATGTTAATTGTGTCTGCCAGGCTGATACCAGGCGTGGGGGGAAGGGTGGAGCGAGGGCAAGGCAGCGAGAGAAACCAGGGGGCTACTGATAGGACGTCTACTACTCCCCTGACTCAGATTATCGCCGTGTCTCAGCATGCCGCGTTTAATACCGCACCTTGGCTTTAAGACCTCTAATGTGCCATAACTTTTAAGGTTTGGCTTTTTACGATGAACCCCATGAAGAATTGTCGCCCACCACTGCACCAATTAGCGTTATCTCTAATAATAAGTGGTTGTAAGTGACGAGAGAAGGCGCCCTGTTCTAGTTGTAATTATTGCAGGCGGGTGCAGCTGCACTACTTAGGGAGATGATGATAATTATTTTTCTTTTTTTTTCATTGCGGGTTGATTATTTAAGAGCATCATACACTCATCAGAGTAATCAGGAGAGAGTGATTAGTGAAAATCCACGAGGCTAACAGCTGCCACATTAAACACTTGCCTCTGTTGCCAACACACAGAGGCAGTCGGAGCCCTTTCTGCAGGACAGAGACGAGCGAAAGCACTTCACCTTCAACTCCTGGACCACATGTGTTTGTTAGAAAGTCAAGGCTTGGGAAACGCAGAGAATTACAGTAAGCTTCCCATGGAAAGATGTGCTTTTGTTTGTGCTACAAGGTCACTCGTCAGAGCTTTAGCAGTGATCTAGAAGGGAGTGGAAGTTTTGATATGGGATTTTTTGGAAGCATGGGAAACAGATATGGTCACAGTGCTGCAACTGCTCTTTGTATTCTGTTGGATTAATTCAATCAACCTTGTGTTGCATGCAGTTTGCTACAAGCAGAATGCTACAGTCAGTGCTTCTCTCTGTTTTAACATTTTGTTTTAAATTCTTAACCTGTATGGAATATACGTATTGCAAAAAAACCTCGTAGTTTACTTCAGGGGGAAACAGCAATCATGGCATGTTTGTAAGAAATCAGTCACCATAAAAATGTGGCTTGCTATTTTAAAACAAAAATAATTACAAGCTGAGATTTTAAATTTGATTCAAAATGCTAGATTAGATATTAGCATTACTAATATAAAAAAAAAAAACCCCAGTAGCCTCTGACTGTCTTAGCTTCAGTACTCAGATTCTTATCCTCAGTCAGATTTTTAATAGTCTGCAGACATTTTCAACTCCAGCATGTTTTATGACTGAGGTTAAACACTAAAGAAAGATAAAACAGAGCATCTTGGCTGTCGTCTTTTCAGCCTCCCTGAAATGAAAGCTGAAAACCTTGAAAACCTTCCTCTCTTGCTGCCAGAACATACGTCACGCAAGTTTTACTACACCAGAAAATGTCTCCTCTTTTTTTTTTTTTTTTTAACCTATTGGTCAGGCTCTGCCTTAAACTTAATCAAACTTCTGATTTATATAGTTTGCCATGTACACAGCAAAAGGTTTTTGATTTCTCTAGTCATTTTATTGCTTTTATGTGGACAACATGCACCTTTAAAACACAGAAGTCAAAATTGAATTGTCATCTTAAAGGACGGAGTATTGTTAAGTACATCGATGATTTGTGTTTAAATTCTCTATAAGTGTTACTAAGTTGAATGCTATTTATAAGTAACCAACCACCTGTGTCATGTGTGAGAACATGGCAAGGGTTTTTAGATAATTGTGGCAATAGATGATGTGGAAAAGCAGTTTGTGAATAGAACCATGGCAAACTGAAAACTTGATTTGACTTGTCAGTACCAATAACATTGAGAACAGGATGCATTGTGGTATGACTCTTGTACTGACGTGCAACATCGATTCGATAAAGCAAACCCAATATGGCAATCATGACTGGCAAACACGCATGGGAATCAGCCATCAACACTGTTTGATTTAGTTTCAGCATCTATATCAGCATCCTTGATGATTTGTAGATGGCCATCTTTTTCCCCAAAACTACAGGGTTCAGCAGTTGGAGAGAGATCCTGTTGTCTGATCTGTGCCATGTTAATATCAGGTGACCCAGATGTTCCCTTTGGGAAAATGAAAGAGGTTCTCTTGAGCTGGGTTTTTAAAAACTCATTATTTCAGCTGTTTTTCTGCTTTTATTAATCATATAGTCACTGAAAAAATAGATGCACCT